AAACAATCTCTCTGGTTTTATAGCTACCATGGTTACTCAGTAGCGCTTTAAAAAAAATACTAACAACGACATTGGTTTCTTGATGACTGTCTGATCTCTTGTGGTTGGATTTAGGTATTGCAGTTTCTGGTTCCTTTGCAAAGGAAAATTTTCACGACAAAAGTTAACATGAATTTATAAGATAAGTACTACCTCCCTTTTAGAGAGGCTCATATTTTTCCTAAGATCCTTCACCAAATAGTGGAGAAGGAAACAGAGAGGACACCTTGTAGCAAAGAATTCCAGAGTAAGTAAAAGAGGGGGGAAATCTTTGAGAAAAGAACAAGAATTCTTCAAAAGTAAAGAAAGATTGAAGTCCTGAGAATGAAATGGTGTAGAATTTCAAACAGAAAAGAGAAGGAAAAATTCACAGACACATTACAGTGAAATTTAAGATCATAAGGATGAAGCATCTTTTCATAAAACTTTCGGGGAAAAAATGTCAGCTATGGAGGACCCAGCTGTCTAATTAGACATCTCAATAACAAACTTATACAAAGGATAGAGCCCCAACCTTGTTTCTAGTGTTACCTGAAGACAACTGTAAACCTACAACTTTTTATTTAGCCCCACTGTCATTTAAATGAGGCTAAAGATACTGTAAGGCCACACAACTGCCAAAGGTTACTACTCTAAGGCCAATGTTAATAAGAACACTGCATATTTAAAAGAACACAAAAATCTTCTTACAGTAAATATTTCAGAGAGAAAAAAAATAAAGTCAGGAGAATGTCACATGCTTTGAAATATATAAGAAGCAAGAATGGATAGTTGGCTCACAAGCTTACTGTAATTTATATGATAAAGGATCTAAAAGAAAAAAAATTATAATTAAAACTTGATAAAATCACAAAATTAAGTGAGATTTATGAACAGAAAAAAATGAAAGTATGCTATATTATAACACATGATATATTTACAATATTATAGGGAATGAAAAAATATAGGTCTCGGGCTGGGGATTTAACTCAGTGGTGCTGCCACCTGCCTTGCAAGTCCAAGGTCCCAAAGTCCAATCCCGGGTACAAAAATAAATAAATAAATAAAAAAATAAAATAAAATTACAGGTCTTTATAAGTAGCCGTCAAAATTGTTTTTTAGTGGAGCTTTCAAATGATCACAGAGAAGTGTTATCTACCCAATAGATAGCAGAAAAGGAAAAAAAGAAAAAGCATAGTAAATAGAAAGCAGGAAGAAGGCAGAAATAAATCCCAGTGGGACAAATTATAATAAGGGAAGTGTACAGAGCTCACCAAACAAAAGGAGGAAATCTTGTGTTGGAAAACAAATTAGATCCAGCAATATTTTGTCTACAGAAGACAGTGTTTAAAAATATGAAAAGATTTGAAAATGAAGGTATAGAAAATTGCATACCAGGAAACTATAAATGAAATCAGAGGAAGGGGGTGGAGGGAGGGCAGGCACAAGCGGAAAAAATGAGAACCAAGACCCGTCATGTAAAGGCACAAGATCCCAATAGTGAATGTAATTGTATTATATACCTAAAATGATACCAATAAACTCAATAAAAAATGAAATCAGAGGAGTAATTTTAATATGATAAAAATAGAAAAAAATCATACCAAAAACAGGATACTTCATAAGAAGAAAAATAGATTGAGATGAGAATATAATCATAAAAATATATAGATGTAAAAGATGCAACTGCATGCCAATTTCAATAACAGTAGAATGATAAAGACAAATCAGGGCTGGGGATTTAGCGCAGTGGTTCTGCTGCCTGCTTCACAAGCACAAGGTCCTGAGTTCAATCCCCAGTACCAACAACAACAAAAAAAGACAAAACAGTATCACAACTTATGGAACCACAAAACTAAGCTCTATTACATAGTGGGTTAAAATAGATTTATTCTCTTCAACTCAGATCAAACAGGTGGAAAATAAGTACGTTTCTGACAAGATTTATTTTATATCATCTATATATAACCCAAGGAGGTGAAGAGATTGAGCTTTCACAGTTCACAGAATGTTTCACATATTTCAGGTTCAAGGAAGAAAAGAAGCCTCTGAAGGTGAAGTAAAATTGTTATCTAAGCCAGGGATTTAGCTCAGTGACACCGTGCCTGACTCACAAGTGCAAGCAGGGTCTTGAGTTCAATCCCTGGCACCAAATTGTTGGCTAATTTTAATGTGATTTAGTTTGAAAATTGTCCTAAAATGAGAACTAAAAACATGTACTTGAAGATAACTATAGCTACAAAATAGTTCTTGGGTGGAAGAAAGAATTGTCACAGGAGTTAAAACACTGCCCCAACAACAGGCCCTGTTAAAATTTGTAGGGTAGAGCTAATGTAGTACTTTGAGCTAAATCCATTGCTTTAAATGTATTATTTGAAAACAATTCACATGAGCCCCCAAAAGTAGTGAAATAGAGAATAATAATCTAAAATCAATAACAAAGAAAAGATTAACAAACCAAAAGCTGATCCTCATAGAACTAATAAAGTTTAATAAAACTAAAAATAAGATACAGAGTAGAAAAGGAGATATTATAGTCACAACAGGTGCACTAAAATAATAAAAATATGATTATATGCCAATAATTATAGAAACAAAGTCTATGGATATATTCCTAGAGAAACAAAGTAAAAATTAGCAAAATAAGTTAGTAAAACAATAAGTATTAAAGATATATAAATAGAAGTCAAAGATTTTCTCCTCTCTAGAGCTTGTTTTTTAAGAAAATAATTTAAAAATTCAATAACAGATAATCCTCAACTTACAAAGTTATTGAAGAAAATAGAAAAAGGAGTAAGACTTTAATGCATTTATATGATAAAGTGCACCAGTATATTAGTGAATTCAGTAAACTATAGTCCTATTATGTCTATAAGGCTTAAGGCAAAAATTGTAAATGAAATAGATACTGAATTCAACAATTTATTAATCATAGTAATAGAATATTGTCATTAAGCAGTGAAAGGATTCTGTGATATCATTATTGTTGATTTAGTAACAACTCTATAATACAGTGAAAATAAAAGATGTTTCAACTGATGCAAAAAAATCATAATAACTTTCAAAACTTCTGGGAAAAAATTCTAAAAGAGCCTGAATAAAGGCTATTTATTAAATACCCACAACAAGTATCATTCTTAAATGGAGAAAGTTTCTAAACATTTCCTATAATACTGGAAACAACTAAATAATGACCATTATCATTACTGCTCTCTAAAGTATGCTGGAGGCCTGTGATAATGAAGCAAGCATTAAAAAAAAAAATAAGAAGCATAAGTATTGAAAGAGAATAAAATACTGTTATTTATAGTTGATGAAATATTTACATAGAAAACACAATAGAGTCAACAGGTAAACCAGAAGATCTAATGAGAGAGTAAATAGTTTGCCACCGCCATAGACTATTAGAAATATGACACAATATAGGACATAATTTATAACAACCAAAACTAATTGGGAATTAAACTATACAAGACTTTTATGGTGAACAATTAGAGTAAAAACAATGGCCAGAGTAGATGGGTGTAAAAAGAATATTCTCTCCTAATTGCTCTACACATTAATGGAAAGTTCATTCAAAATTCTGGCGAATGATTTTGAGCAATTTAACATACTTATTCTGAAATGTATATGAAATCAACGTCCAATATTCACTGTCATTTTTGAAAAATAAGGGGCACTTCTGCCTACCAGACAATAAGTTATTAATACAAAACAATAAGACATTACAAAGCCAGGGTAGTAGGGTGGCTGTGATATAATACAGAGGAGAAACTAAAATTCATAGGGCTGGGAGGTGAATTATTAAGCAGAATAAAAACTAGCTCCATAGACTTGGAAAAATACATAGTTGAATTCTTACCTCTTACTATACAAAAGTTGACCCTAAATTCACAATTTATTCAACAGGCAGATATTGAACATCTACTATATATGAAGGACTTCTCTGGACCCTGGGGATATGCCAGTAAAAAAAAGAGAAACTTTACTACCATGAAAATCCTAAAGAGGGTAAAATTATAAAATTAATAGGAGAAAATGTAAGAGAATTTTCTCATGATCTCAGAGTAATGAAAGACTTCTTCAGCAAGAACCAGAAAAAATGCAAAGTGCAAGGCAAAAGATATTCGATGGCTTTGAAGACATCATAATTAAGTAGGAGCAAACTTATGGCCCACCCATGCATTCAAGAGGCAGTCTCCCATCTTCATAAGGCGACATATGCAAGGTTGCTCATCACAGTGTTGCTTCTGACAGGAGGAGATTGGAACCAACTTCAATGTCCCCTTCCTCAGGTCTCAGAGTATGACCACATTTCAGTTCTTCTCTACTTGGTAGTAGTCATGGGATAGTGTGACTCAAGAATTCACAATGGTCTCACAAATGTCTTTTTATGTTATCTGGAAATCTAGAGAATTCCTCTCTTTAACAGGTTTGAAAGGAAAACCAGGGGGTGTGAAATGAACCACTACAGTTGGAAGATGGGTAAGAGAAGGGACATAGAATTTCTTACATGTCAACCTAAGCAGATAGTAATCAACACTTTGAACTAGCAGATAAATCCATCAGGCCATAAAGCCAATTCAACTAACTCTTCAGATTGTATTTCTAGGCAAATAACTTCTTGGAATGGGGCATTGCTCTGGGCAACAAACATTTCTATGCAGTGGAGGACACGGGGCTTCCCAATCATGCTTTGATGGCACTTAGACACTAGGTGGGAACTGGGATCATACTTAGGAGAACATCTTTAAGATTCCCACATCAGTGTATCAGTGTGCAGAGCCACAGCCATGCTGTGGAAGTGATTGGCATATATAAATTGTATTAAGCAAAATCAGGGGAAAAGTGTATCCAGGGCAGGAAGATCAAAATGAGAAGGAAAAAAGACAAAAGGAGAACACTCCAGGCTGAAGGCAGAAGGTGATAGGTAGGTCAAGGTCCTCACCATATATAGGGGCCAATATAGAGAGCTACAGAGAATGTGTTGGGAGTCTAAGGCCTTGGTTCCTTATTGACTTGTCCACATTTCCATTGCTCCTTAATTCCCCAACTCCACCTAACACAACCAGCCTCAACAGGGTAGGGCAATGTGTATCACTCTGCCCAACCACCTTATAGATGAAGACATTGAGCCCTAGAGAAAGGGAGAGATTTGTCTAAAGTCACAGCCATTGGAGTGGAATTCAGGGCTATGAACTAACTCATTGCCAAATGTTCTTTCCTCTGTCTGAAGCTTCCCCCCTGCCTGTTGGAAAGAGGATGTCAACCATGGCAAGTAATGGTGGTACCTTTAACCAATCAGAGAGAATAGGTTCAGGCTGCCTTATTATTCCAAGAAAGAAGAGTCAGAAGTGCAGGAGGGCTCTGGAACTTCTTGTGTTGTACTCTTGGGAGGTGGGGATGTTGGGAGGGACTTCTCTGAGGCTGGAAAGCAGAAGATCTTCAGTTATGCAAACCAGGAGAGTCTCAATTGTCCACTACTGTTTGGTATTCCAGATCTACACTTGCAGGAAAAGTTTGTCACTGGTGACAGCTGTGTTCCATTTCTTCTTTCACCTCCTTTGTTCAGTCTCCTTTTCCAGGCAAGACTTCCACATACTCGTTACTGTTCTCTGGTTGGAGAGGAAACAGAGGATAATCCATGAGATTGTATGCAGAAGTCACATCAACCAATCCCCCTCAAGGGAAAGAAGAACAGGGCACAGAGCAATCTTGATGCTTCATCCAAGTGACATTGGCCAAGGCTTTTCTGGGAAAATAGCAAATTCCTTTATAAGCTAAGTCTCAGAGTTCCTAGCACCAAATGTCTACCTTCCGTTAGCAGAAAACCTATTCTTTCTCCACAGTAAGAGCACCTGTGCTGAGGTGCTGAGGGGACAGCAAAACAATAGCAGGAGAAGGGAGCTTATTTTAAGCATCTACACTCCAAGCTTCATTTTGTTGGGGATGAAAAGCTTGATGGGGAGCCCAAAGAGAAGCTTGCTGGGAAGCCCGAAGAAGGACTTTGCTCTAGACAGAACAGGTGTGCAGTTACTAAGAGTCCCCAAGAACTCTCTGTCTTCTGTCCTCCCTACTTAGCATATCTGCTCTAATCACCATCACCCGCCTGTCAGCAACACCTGCAGTCCTTCTCACTGGGAATGTAGCCACATATTTCACCATGGAAAATCAAGACCAAGCCATAAACATCTCTGGAAGTTCAGGTTCCATTTACACTGCATTTCAACTGACACATACTGGATTCCTTTCTGAAAGCAGATTTCGAGGGTGAAGCTAATAAAGAGTAGCTGTTCATGGTATAAATTGAGTTCTTGGCATTGATTGGCTTCCCTCAAATTTCCTGACCATCTCTCATTCTCCATTATGGCTTTATACCTTTAGTGATATATTGAAATAATCTGTCATAATCTGAAATAATCTGTAACCTACCACTTTATAAATGAATGCTTAGCAAATATCGAGCAAACTATAATACAACAAGCCTTCAGTAGAGTGGAAGTGGTTTTCTCATTTGAAAATCTGCCCATGGGTCTGTCCATTTATTCCCCAACTTGCGTGATTTGTACAATGTCAGAGTGAATTTGAAGTCAACTCTTTACTGAGGAACCACTTTTCCTTCCCTGGTTATCTAAACACATAGCTGTGCATCTTGGCTACCTATAGAGGCTGCAACACTATTTTTCAACAAAATGCAAATTGTCTTAGTAGGATGACTCTTTTTAGAAGCAATGTCATAGAAAATGGCATCAATTTGTACTGATTCTGCAAAGAAGAATCAATGAGATTGGGATTGAGATTCCTGTCTAAAAGCTTTTACCATAAATACCATTCGGGACTAATAGTGATCTTCTCTGTCTCAGGCAGAGGCTGGGTCTCTTTATTGGCTTCGAAAGGTGAACCACCAGTCCTTGATCTGGGTTTTTAAACTTGGAGACCAATTCCTTTAGGTTTGGAAAAGTCAGTTTTGGAAAACCTTCCGTACTCTGCAAAAATACAAGAAAAGAGGTTACTTGTCGTCATGCAATTATGTATGAAATGTAACACTTCTTGAAACAGGGGTTTTTGGGATGCTTCTGGGTTGACAAACTGAGAACAATAGGCCAGCAGCTCGTTCAGAAGAGCACACATCAATGGCGGTACCGGGGATTGAACCCCAAGCCTCTGCACTGAGCTACATCCCCAGCCCTCTTTTCATTTTTTAAATTTTGAAACAGAGTCTTGTTCATAACCCTGGCCAGAAATTCTTATCTTTTAAAGCCAAACTTCTGCCTTGAGCTATGTTAGTAGAGAGGACTTCTAGGTAAAGGATCAACTCAGTCTGCAGTGTGGAGCAAGCCCAGCCCTTGTCAAATTTGTTCTTGTTCTGGATACACTGCAAAGGGCGCCTCTCTTAAGAGCTCAGGGCAGGGTGTGTATTGTGCTACCAGGCTTTGCTCTTGATGGGGGATAAACAGAGCTGGGCTTCTCATGGGAAATGTAAGATACACAATTTACATGCCCACTGAATTCACAATCTCCATGTGAGGAAAATGAGGCCCCCCAAAAAGTCCCAATTTAAGTTGAAAGTAGGAATACCAACATGACCCAGTTAAGTTGTAAGTAGTTGTTTTCTTTTTGAATGTAAGATACACAATTTACATGCCCACTGAATTCACAATCTCCATGTGAGGAAAATGAGGCCTCCCAAAAAGTCCCAATTTAAGTTGAAAGTAGGAATACCAACATGACCCAGTTGTAAATAGTTGTTTTCTTTTTGCCAGCCAGAAATCGGATTCTACTTTCTGATATCATGTTACAGACATATTTAAAACAAGATTTGCTTTCTCTGTTCTTTTGAATTTGGCTTTCTTGATCAACACTGTGGTTTGCATATGGTCACCATGTCAGGCGGTGACCAGAAGCCCTTTGATGTGTAGCTTAGTTAATCTCCATAATAGCAACACCAGCTGACGTGGGAGTTGGTCCCTGTGTGCAGTCGCTTTAACCCAGACACCACCCACTGCAGACATCCAAGGGCCGAGCAGCCACTAGTAAAATGCTCCTTTGTGTCTGAGATAGTCAACTGGTTGTATAGGCCTCTCTGTATAGACAAGGGACAAAAGAGGGGACTGAGGAATTATCTGGAATTTCCTGGTGTATGCAAGCAAGGAAAACAAAGTTTTAAAATAAATTGCTTCCTAGCTCTTTTAATTTGAAATAATTTCAGACAGAAAAGTTTCAAAACTAGTAAGCAGCAAAGTTTTCTATGTATTCTTTGTCCATACTCTATATATTAACATTTAATTATATTTGCTTTTTATTCCCTACTTTTAAATATATGTACATATATATGCATGTATATATACATACTGTATACATATTCTTTGTAAAATAAAGCTTTTAAATTGCAGACATGATATCCCTTTAACTCTAAGCCACTTTAGTACTGCCTAAAAGTAAAGGTGTTACCTAGCAGCAGTACAGTGACCAGGAACAGGAAATTAACCAGAGGCAGTACTATTTGCTAGTCTTATAAACATTTTAATTTTGTGAAGAATATCCTTTATAGTGCTCGCTTCAGCAGCACATATACTAAAAGAATGTCCTTTATAGCAATTGAAAAATTACATACCTTAATTCCTTGGGAATCACTAAATAATCTGTTCTCTTTCATATATTCATGATGAAGACAAGCATATTGAAGAGACTGAGAAATATTATAGTTTAAAACCCCGTTTAACCTTATGTACAAGTTTTTCAGAAAGATGATTTCTGAAGATTCTCTGTTAGTCATTAAAAATTCTGTTATGCTTAATGTGCTTTCTTAAGCCAAATAACTAAATTCAAGAGAAGTAAAATATTTTCTGTTCATCTCTCAGCAAATCAGAAAAATTAACTCTCTAATGTTTGCAGTTATATGATACTTCTATGAAATACATTTACATTTCTGAACATTCAGACCTCTCCCCAATTTCCCTTCCCACTTCCATTCTGCACCATTCCCTCTCTCTCTCTCTCTCCCTCTCATTCTTCCTCTCTCTCTCTCCCTCCCTCCCTGCCTGCCTCCTTCTTCCTCTCCTCTCCTCTCCTCTCTTCTTTTCCTTTACTCCCCTGCCCCACTGCTCAGGACTAAACAGAGACTACTGAGTCACATCTTCAACTCTTCAAAAATATATTTTTTTGTTTTACCAAGACAGACTTCACTTAGAACTTGCAAACCCACTGCCTCAGCCCCCTGAGTATCTGGAATTACAGGTGTACACCATTTTCCTGGCTTAGTTTTTAAATTGAACAATGGTTTCAAATGGAGTACAGCTTTGTACAGTTGATCAGTAGAGGGAGTAGTTATGTGTATCTGCACTCTAAAATAATAGCCAGGGTTATTCAAATATGAAACCCAACTCTGGGGCCTTCCTAGTTCTCTCAGAGAAAGACAAAGCTAACCATCAATCTGGCTGCTGATTCTATGTCATGCTTGTTTTTTAGAAGAGATGATCTCAGGTTCTCCTCTCCTAACTTTTGTATTGTTGTGGAGGGAGCCATTCTATATTCTTACCTCTACCCTGTATCCTTGATTCTCTCTGAAGATTCGGTATGTGTAGACACAGTTGTTAAACCTGTGGAGAGATTATCTGTGATTCATAATGTTCTTATATACAAGGCCTGGCAACATCTGCCATCACATTTTATGTTTTGGTCAGTCTTGGGTCCCAAAAGAAACTGATCAGCTTCAGGCCCTCTCATCCCCGGGAATTTGAAAGAAACAGGGGCTTTGAAATGGTGAGACTTATTGTGGAGATGACAGTCTGGACTCTAGAGAAGAGGATAAGGAGAGTGAATTCCACATTCTTGATTCTTTTCTCTGGTTCTTTCACGTCACTATAAGTTGATATAACATACAAAGCACCCCTGAGCCATGCCTTTGCTGTTTGGTAGATGACTTCCTACTGATTGCATTAGAAATAATATAACTAAAAGGGAATACTGCTAATTTTGTTCAAGCAAGTAATAGATAAGTGTCTTGCTCCTTATTGGAACAGGAGCCCTGGGCTAAATCATCTAATCATAATTTAAATTACAAACTAGTCTAGCAATTTTCAAAGCAAGAGACAGCATAAACCCCATATTTCTTCAATTTCAAGACATTCTCAGTTAATCATAAGGCACATTATCAACTAAACAGTAGCTTTCTGGGTAAACATAAAACCCAACGGAGGTTGCACAGAATCTAGTGGGGTTAGAATGCAAGAGACAAGGATGACCTACCAGACTGAGGGTTCTGGTAATGACTGGGAAACAAGGCCACATTTCCCTAGGCCTTCTACCCCCATCATCACTGATTATCACCCCTGCATTACTCCCACGCGTGGACTTTGTGTGTTGCTGTCCAAAGCTAATTCCTCCTTTTTCCCCTGGATGCCTCTCCCTTTTCATCTACTGAGGAACATGGCTCTAACAAGTCTGTCTTCTATCTCTGACATCATTAATTATTGTTCTTGGCAAAACAACCTGTAAGGTCCTTTTTAAGAAAGGTGAGGCAGACTATGTCATTCCTCTGCACAAAAGTCTAGGCTTATATTAGGTCAATTTTGGAAAAGAAAAAGATTGGGGTTTGTGTATAAGGGGAGAGTTAATGTGTTAGCAGTCTTAAGTCTTCATAAAAAACTATAGTTGGGATATGAGGACCAGTTTAAAGGTAGAAAGTGATATTAATGGCACATAGCAGTTCAGACAGATCCTTGTATGTATGAAAATTTGATGTAGGACAGACCAGGCCCTGTAGATTGGTGGAGAGGGGATGGACTATTTGTTAAATGGTAACGTTTAACATGCTGGACCAAACAAAATTGAATCCTTACTTCACAATTTAATTGAAGACTACATTATGAGAAAGGAAATAGTAAATATCAGAGAAATGAATATAAGTGGACAACTTAATAACTGTGAGTTAAGGAAAGAGTTCTTAAATTACCAAAAGCACAAGCCATAAAAAAGATTAATAAATTCACTTTTTAAAAATTAAGACTTGGCTGGGGATTTAGCTCAGTTGTTCCACTGCCTGCCTTGCAAGTACAGGAACCCAAGTTCCATCCCCAGTACCAAAAAAATAAATAAATAAATAAATAAGACTTGAATTTATCAAATGTACTATTAACAAAGTGAAAAAGTAGCTCAGTTGTTCCACTGCCTGCCTTGCAAGTACAGGAACCCAAGTTCCATCCCCAGTACCAAATAAATAAATAAATAAATAAGACTTGAATTTATCAAATGTACTATTAACAAAGTGAAAAACTTATCAGATTGGGAGAAGATAATTACAACACACACATATATATTAAGAACACTTACATGCAACAAGAAAATAAAAATAAATAAATGAAAAGATGAAACTAAATGAAAAGGCTTCATTATTATTCAAGAAATTGAAACCAAACCAAAGGAGTGAAAGACCTCTGTAATGAAAACTACAGAACTCTGAAAAAAAAAGTGAAGAAAACATTAGCAAATGGAAAAACATCCCTTGTTCTTGGATCAGCTCAATTAATATTGTTAAAATTGTCATATTACCAAAATATAGATTTAATGAAAGGCTTATTAAAATACCAAACATTCTTCACAGAATTAGAACAAACAGTTCATGAGGAACTGGAGGAGATCCCAAATAGCCAAAGAGCAAAAAGTAAGTGGGGAAGCATCACAATACCAGATAACAAATTATGCCACAAAGCTATAGTAACAAAAACAGAATGGTACTGACACACAAAAGAGACATGTGACCAGTGGAA